TGCGCTTTTTTTTTTTTTTTTTTTTTTTTTTTGAAGGGAAAGCAAAAATAACCCTCAGCACAACCCCAGCTCCCCGTGATATCCAACATGGGAGTAAGGGAATTACACTGAGACTATGACCTTTCTGCAAGTCATTCCACCAGCTGCAGACAGTCCTGCAGTTTGCTGAGGCACGGCGCATGCTGACCTCCCCATGGACAGCAAGGGCTGGGGACACCTGGGACCTCTCTAGCAAAACCTTATCCTTCTGTTGTGAAACACCGGGTCAGGGAGACCGGAGAGCGTGGGGACACCCGTGGCCAAGGGAGCTGCTAGCCGTGCGTGCTTACCCAGATGGGCTAGGGTGTCCTCATGAAGGTCCCAGCACTGATGGGACCCTTCCCATAACGGGACACAGTGCCAGCCACCTGCTAGGTGGATGTCGCCGGTGGGGAAGGGACACAAATACCCCACTCCCCTCTCACGTCCAGCAGCGTGGCACCTCTTTTGTAAGTGGCTGGAGCAGAGGCTGGGAGCACCCGACATCCAAATGCTCTGCCCACGCCATGCTGGAGCAGGATGCACGAAAAAAGCTGGTCAAGGGGGACACCTAGTGACCAGCCGGGGGGCGGGGGGACACGCGGGGCTGGGGACCCCTGTACCTCCCTGGTGCAGGGGGCTGCAGCCAGGCAGGGTTAGGGCAGATGGGCTGCGGGGCTCTCATCTTCTGCGAACAGTGAGAGAAAGGTGTCGGAAAGGGTTGGCGCCAAGTCAGTGCCATCCTGACATCCCTGTGGCCAAGGAGAAAATGAGATTAAGGATTCATCCTTCCCACAGCACAGAGCAAACCCCCAGAAACCCTACCTCTGTCAGCACGGGAAGGGTGAAATTAAACTTGCTAATGGACCACAAGCTTGAAATCAGCATAACTAAAAGTGACTAGCATGAATACATAAACCCCCCTGAATTATGAATAAAAGAAAGTATTACATTTAAAGAGCCTGCCTGGTAAAAGTCACTTTCCCTTAGGGGAAACTATTTTTTTCTAGCCCATTATGTACTAGATTTGCAAAGACAGTCTAGGAAAAAAATGCACATAACAGTACTTCAAACGCTTAATTTTGAGAGCATTAGCTGGGAATGATGGGAGGGGGAGTAGAAACCTTCAGCTGAGGTCCAAAGGGCCGACTGCAGTCCTCAGCTGCCCTCTCTGATGGAGAGCCACTGTGCTATGGGGGTGGGGGGAGGCACCAGACCAGTACTCTCTTGCCAAAGTAACAATTTTCCCAAAAATAACACATTCCCAAAGAATCTGACTGAGTAATACTGAGTTAGTTACTTCCAGAAATGTTGAATCATTCTGCCTGGATAAAATGCATTGCTCTGAGAGAGAAAAGCAATGCACTAAAGCTATTCTGTTGATTAAATGGGACATTCACCTTGTATTGAATATTCATTCCAATGTTAGAGATGTGCATATATTTTTCCCAGTGGCATGGCTGTGGGTACGTCACTGGAGCATTTTAAGATCATATAAAATGCAAACCCAAGATATATCACAAGTAAAAGCAAAACATTGAGGCTACTTCCAAAAAAACCCATCAAATCTCCTTTTGAGCCATATCAAGGAAATCAAAGCCAAGTTTGACACATTCCTTGTGATTTTGTTGTTATCACTGTTGTTATCAACATGTTCCCAGGAGATACTACAATTTTTTAAACATCTCTTTCTCCAGGCCTAGCTCAAGCCCAGATGATGATGGATAAGCTGCTAGATTCCCACATAACAATGGAATTTTGATTTTTTTTTCTTTGCAAAATAACCTGACCCCTAAGAAAAGTCACAAAGTCACATTGAGTAATGTCAGAAGGAGGGATACCTTGACCACACCAGCATGACCGCATCCTTCACTGTGCCCTCTCCTGTAGGTTCCCACCCGATGCTTTCTGCAGGCTCCCCTCCCTCCAGCATTACAGCAAAGGGCTCCACTCTTTCCCACATCCTCTAAAACCTAAATGCACAGCAGGGACAGGCAGCAGGCTGGGCTGTATCACTCCCTCTGCCAAGGTGATTCCTGAGCAACAGGAGGCAAATAAGCATTTGCTTTGTAGGACTTCAGTATAGAGTTATCATTTTTTGCACGCCTGGTTTGAGAAACCCCCAGTTTCATTTGCAGGAGGGCTGGCATTTCCCAAGTAGAGTTGCTCAAGTGTTTTTTTCTGTAATAAATGGTATCCAGACAGCTGAAACAAAAAAGCATCCTGTGTCAGAGCAAAAAGCAGGCATGTGATCAGTTTTGTACATCGAGGCTCCTTTGCCTCCTCAAGTCTCTTGGGAATACCTCGAGATTTAACGATCACATAAGCAGATATCATTCAGATAAAGCAGGCTGAAGTGCTATGAGGAGAAGGCAAAACCCAGGACAGCACATTTCAGTGACAGTCCTTAAAAACCACATCCCAAGACGCATTGTTTTTTGTCTGCTACCGCTGGGACCATCCCTTGCCACCCCACAGCCCAATGCACCATTCCCCAGAGTGCTCCTATGAGCCTGGGTCCTTGCTGCAGCGTGTGGCTTGGCACAACAGCTCGATGCTTGTATCTGACCTCCCCTCTTTCACCATGGATTCCTGCAGTGGCTTTACTGGCAGGCACAGTCTCGCTGGGTGATGGACATACCACAGTGGGCTGGGATGGGTATGGTAGCCAGAGGGGGAAGTTATCTGTGGGTTCACTGGCATGGATATGCATGTAGAGGTATTGCTGCAGCCTGCTCCTCCTCTCTAGTAGCCTCTGAGCTTGGTTTGCATCTGGCAGATCCAATCTGGCATTTGCTATTTTGGGCAATGCTGTCTCAGTGGTGGTGAGGAATAGCATAGGGAGCATGGCACACACACAGCAAAGAAATTTAGACCAGACGCAATCAGCAGAAACCATAGGTCGCCGTGCAAAGCCACTTCCACATTCATTGCAATTAGCACGCTATTACAGTCCCTTGCCTTCCTCAGGGCATAAGCACCCAACACATGTATGAACCCACAAATGCACTGGCTTGTGATGGGGGTCTTGGTCTTGGTTAATATGCTGCTGATGATGATTTCTGATGATGCCAGAGTTTTAAAGTGCTTCCATGTGCCCAGAAAGCAGTGCAAGAAGAGGCAGACTGCTCCTGCCATGCACCTGGGTTGCTTTCCATCCTCCATCACCTGCAAGATCTGCTCATGCTTTGGCTTGTCCTGCAGCTTCATGGGAGAGCTGAACCACAGCAGGATGGCCTGGTTCCCTCTATGTGTCATCCCCCTCTGAGAGGGACATCACCCCAGGCCGCTGGCTGCTTCGAGGGTGGTGGCAGTGGGATGTGGAGCTTTTCCTGGCAAGCACACGCCCCAGCTCACCATCCAGGCCACAGGGGTGGCTCTGACAGGCTGATGGGTGGTTATTTTCATGCTGGGTCTCACACACAGATGTTTTGTTCTTTTAACACAAAAAAATACTTGGCTAGACCAGAGTGAGGAAGAGGAGAGGATGAGGAGTGCCGGTTGCCCACAGCTGACTTACACCTTTGCAGGTGGCTCTGTGCTTGCTCTGGGCAGTCAGCAATGCGGGGAAGGTAATATCTGGTGCCTGGGCTCTCTCCTTCCTCCAGCATCAGCACAATACAAGGGGAGGGATGCTGATGGGGGGGTTACTGGCTCCACCCAAGCCCCTGTAGCACTTCCCAAAGCACCTCTGCACCCCCAGGTGGCAGGGAGGAACAAAGGGATGCTCTTGCATATGTTTGGCTACTGGACCACGTGAAAGGCATTGCTGAATCCAAACTGCCAGGGAGAGCAGAGCAGTGTTGGAAACTGGCAGAAAAGCATCTTATGAAGGAACTGGAAGCACCTTTAAATGCAGAGGCTTGAAATGCTCCAGAGAGCTGAGCACGCATGGGTTTTATGACATCTAGGCTGAGCAATCATTGATGCTCAGTGACAAGGACTGGCAGCCATGTCCACCTTTCTGGAGCTTTGACAGCAGTGGGGTCCTGGGCTGGGGGAATGGACCTTTAAGGGGAGGTGATGATGCTGCTCGATACATGCAGATAGCAGGCACATGATGTCTTGCTCACGCAAACTCACTCCCTTCGCCCTCTCCAAGCCATGCTACCATCCCTGCCAGATGCTGGGCAGCTGCAGAAGCCCCCATGCTGGGGCTGGATCCCATAACCCTCTGCCCAACTCTGGCCCGATGGATGCGGTGGTATCACCTGAGTTCCCCACTGCAGCCCCTTGTAAGTGCTGAGCAGTCAGCACTGGTGACAGGAGGAGAAGCAGTCCTGCATCCCAGCAGGAGAAGGGAGGGGAGCTGCTAGCAGTACCTGCTGGCAGTAGGGGTAGAAGAGAGGCCATGAAGTCTTGGGGCTCACCTGGAAAAAACAATATATTTCCCATGTGGTACAGTGCAAAATGTATCTGCTGCTTTAGCTGCCTGGGGACACAGTGTATCACGATCCCCTCCTTTGCAATACAGGAAAAACATGTACCATATGTTTTGTACAGTAGGAAATTAACAGATGGAAAATATATTTGTTTCCCTGTTTGAGAGGTAGGAGAGAGAAGTAAAGCCTGGAAGCAGAAGGCAGGGCTGGGCATAGAGGGTCTTGGGGAAAGGTGTGAGGCACAGACATGGTAGATCCATCCAGACAAGGGGGCAGTGAGAGATGTTTGTTGTCATACTGTAACTTGTAACTTAATCTTAGGGAAAATCAAAGCATTATGCAAGCCAAGTACCCTCCCTTTTAAAAAAAGAAAGCCTAGAATCACTCAGGAAGTGCATCACTCATGGGGACCTTCTCTAAATAAAATAAAATAATAATAATAATAATAGGGTGATGATAATAATAATAATAATTATGAAGTTTTGCATATGATCCCCACCTTCCTTCCAAGCAGCTAAAAAGGTGCAGAAGGATGCAGAGGGAAGGATGGGGCTGGAGATGGCAGGGCAACCCAGGAGAAGAACAGTCAGAGCCCATCGGTAGCAGAGCTGCACAGACATTTATTGAACACAAACAACGACAAACACAGCCGGCTCACAGAGCTTCCTGAGCTATCGTCCAAAGGTTTTGCTCGTGGGGATTGTCAAAACAGCGCTTTCAAAGGCCCCTGGGGGTGTGAATCCCACACAGCTGAATTCTTCCCATTTCCAGTTGCTTGTTAGTTAAAAAAGAGGATCATTTTTGTGTATGTGTGTGTTTCCCTTCGTTTACTATGAAAAATGGCTTGTCTGGACCCTGCCATGTTTTATAGAGAGAAGACTGCAAGCGTACCCATGCGTGTCTGTCAGCTTGGGCCCTGCATGTTCTGCTTCCCAAATAACATGGGGTGGAAACTATGCCTTGCCCTAAGGGCAGGGATGCAAGGTCACAAAGGTGAGCCAGGACAAGCAAAGCCAACGATAAGGGAGCATCAAAGGAAGAAGGGTGAGAAAAGTAAGTACTCTGAAGCACGCACAGCTCTGGGTGGCGTCACATGTCCATAGGCTACAGCAAGTACCGCCAACTTCAACTCAAACATGTAAGTAGCTACTCTAGACTGACACTAGAGACCCCGTCATCTTCTGAAGTCTCACCAGCAGAAAAAAAACAACCCCCCCTTCCCCACCCCCCGAAAAGCAGATGAAGTAGTAACACCGTACGCTGAAAACAAGGACCATAACCAAAGAGTTTGGGAGCAGCCTCAGGAGCACAGTAAGGAACTCGTAAAGAAATGTTCCAGTGTGTGCATATGCATGTGTATTTAAATATATATATATTTGTTAGTAAAGAAAAGAGTATCTGTGGAGGCAAAGGGAAGACGGTAAATGTACAGGCAGTACAGGCTGGGTGGAGTGCCGGTGGCTGGAGAGGGTCGGGTGGTGCGGAGTGGAGGATGGTGGGTGGAAATTAGAGTGCGCCCATTCCAGTGACCTCAGACGTCAGCCTAGAATAGACAGGGACAGAGAGAGGGGTGAGGGGGAGACAAAAACAAGCGCTTAATATCCAGAGCAGAAAAGAAAACGAAGACCCTGTGGGGCAGCGCTTCTCCTCTGGCCTACGCCCCGCTGGGACTGGGGGTAGAGCATCACTAGGTTGCTTGAGCACATGGGGCTTGGAGGTCCCTGTGGAGGGCACAGGGGGCTGGAGCAGAGAGGCAGCTCAACGGCCAGCTGCCTTCCTCTTCCTCTCTCCTCGCTGCTGCCAGTCCCTGGCACTGAACCATGGCAGTGGTGCCACCCACCAGGGGTGCTGGCAGGAGACATACCAGTGCATGGCTTCACTGCTACCAGCATCCCTCTCAGGGAGGACAGGCAGCTGTCCCAGCTCCTCCGTCTTCTTCATTTTGCTTTGGATTTTGAAACTATGGCAGAGGCTGAGCTATGCCCCATCCTGCCGCCTGCCAGGTCATCTCTGCCACAGCACAGGCTGCATCTCAGCTAGCCCTTTCAAGTAAGGAAGAGCCACTCGTTTTTCTTTTCTTTCTCTCTCTTGTTTCAAGAGGGGGGC